CTGTTCTTGTCATCCTCAAGCACTTACTTTTTTTAAATCCTTTACTTTTTTAACAGTTTTATTGAAATACAGTTCACATACCACACACTTCACCCATTTAATGTGTGTAATTCATTGATTTTTAGTATATCACAGAGTTGTACATCCGTCACCAAAGCCAATTTTATAACATTTTCATGACTTAAGAAAGAAACCCCATACCCTTTAGCTATCACCCCTTCTGCCCCTCATTCCCCCAGCTCTAAGTAGCCACTAATGTACTTTCTGTCACTGTAGATTTTCCTATTCTGAGCATTTCATGAGACTAGAATCACATGTGGTCATTTGCTTCTAGCTTCTTTCACTTAGCATAATGTTTTCAAGGTTCATCCATGTTATAGCATGTATTAATACTTTATCTTTTTACGGCTGAATAATGTTCCATTGTATGTATATACCACATTTTGCTTATCCATTCATCAGTTGATGGACATTTGAGTTGTTTCCACCTTTTGACTATTATGAATAATGCTGCTATGAGCATTGGTGTGCAAGTTGCTGTGTGGACATATGTTTTCATTTTTCTTGGGTATATACATAGAAGAGGAATTGCTGGGCTATATGCAAATCCTGTTTAACATCTGAGGAACTACCAGACTGTTTCCCAAAACAGCCACACCATTTTATATTCCCACCAGCAGTGTATGAGGCTTCCAGTTTCTCCACTTTCTCCCAAACACTTATCTGACTTTCTGATTCTACCCATCCTAGTAGGTGTGAAGTGGTTTTTCATAGTGCTTTGATTTGTATTTCCCTGATGCTTAATGATGTTGAGCATTTTTTCATGTAATATTTTAGTTTTAATGACATTTTGGGAAGGAGAGGAGATAAGCAAGGATATTTGATCTACTGTATTTAACTGGAAACACAATAACTCATTTTAAATGTGTGACAGAAAAAAGTTTTCTTCTAAATATTTGAAAACATTTATATAGCAATCTCAAATTTTTATCAGCATGTATTAATAAAGTTTCCTACTTTTCATGTTATACTTACTATGTGATTAAGGGACTGCAATATTATGCACTGAATTTGTTCTGTAAAGATTACTGTTTGTATGTAGTGGGGGGAGGAATTCAAATGATTTCTCGGGGTTGACTACAAGGCAGAGCAGAGCTGGTTGCCAAAGCCAGTAAAGCTCAATGTGTTTCACCAATGCTGTGGACATCTGTTGTGGTAAGTGTGATCCTCACGTGATAAATATCAAAGGAATGTGAGAGCCCTGACACAGGACACATGGCATATCTTCTGAGAGATAGATGGCAAGATGTTTAAATGGACTTTTACAACACTTTAATCATGGTATAAAAGATGGGGTGCAATCACGCATGGTAATTGTGAAAGTTAGGTGATGGGTACATGGGGAGTTATACTGTTCTGTCTGCTCTTATGTATGTTTAAACATTTTTCTAATAAAAAGTTTTAAAAAGTAAAAGATGTTGAGTGCCTCATGAGGAGAGGGGAGGGAGCAATATGGAGAGCTGGCAAGGGTGGATCAGCCCATCAAGACTAGGTGTTATGGCATGGTGTGGTGGTGCACACCTGTAGGCCCAGCTACTCAGAAGGCTGAGGCAGGAGAATTGCTTGAGCCCAGGGAGTTTTAGGTTGCCATGAGCTATGATGATGCCACAGCACTCTAGCCAAGGCAAAGAGTAAGATTCTGTCTCAAAAAAAAAGACTAGGTTTTAGCTATTTCTCAGTAAAGACATTTCAGATAATGTAATTCCTTTGAGGATAGAAATCTTAGAAGGAAATCTCTTTCTATGTAACAGGAAGAAGGAAAGGAGAGATGGTTAGTTTTTTTAAGGTTTTTTGATGAAAAATTCCCATCTAATGGCTTCTAGTTCCTCTGTGAATGGTGAGTCCAGCATATCTGCTAAGCAAGTGGAGGTGGACTAAGTTTGAACAAAGTGCAGAAGGTTTGAAATAGGTTTGAGTAGCATGGGAGAGAGTGGACTAAAAAAAAGTGACTTAAGCTCTATTTGTTTTGTTTACTATTAGTAAGCACCAGATAATTATGTTTAGAACGAATGAGTGAATTATTTCCAGATAGTGCTGGGGTGGACCATGAATATTATCATAGTGCCAATAGACTTGTGAGATTTAATCCAATACTGATCAGTTACTTATAGGAAACCATTTCTGGAAAAGGCAGAGAGATGAGATTTTGCCAAATATGGATTAAAGGGGATTGGATGAGGTCTATTTGAAGTGGAGCTTTTTAAATATAGACCCTAAAGTCTGCCTTGATGAGGGGGAAAATTAAGACAAGAACTTGGTGCATAGATAAGCAGAACAGTTAATGACCTGGAGTTGAAAACAATGACCACTTGAGAGCATATGGTGAAAGGATAGGGGATGAGGTCAAAGGGTAGAATATCAAGCTGTATGATCACAAATGTCAGAGGTGTTCCTGATCGTAAGTTCCAGGTGTGGCAGTAACTGAACCGGAATGGAAGTAAAGGACCCTAAGATGGGAAGATGGAGGGACTGAGAGGCCAGGTTATTGGCTCCTGTATCCACAAGGATGTTGGGGTCCTCCGCTGATTCTCCACCTCTACAAGTTCCTCCCCGTGGGCCCCATCCCACTTGTTGTCCTTCCCAGGGCCTCCCCAGACTCTGCATTCTTTCAGCAACCCTGAGCTTCAGACACTGCAGGGTCAATGGCATAACTGTGGACAAGAAAATAGAAGTACAGTAGAGTAAAGAGGCTGTAGTGGACATCTGTTTTTTGTTTTTGTTTTGACACCCCACATTCATAGACTTTTCTGGAAAAACTACCTCAAGTGCCTGCTAGGAAACTCACCCCATTTTTGAGTCCCAGTCTGTACAAGTGGAGTTGCCTCCTCTCCAGACCCCTATTTTAAGGGTGGACATGTGCACAGTCTTTGCCAAAAAGAACATTCTGTAAAGGTCCATGGTGAACCCCCAAATATCTGTAACCCTGGTGCACAGTCCAGGGCTCACCTGTGAATCACAAGCTGCAGGTGTTCTGGTGGATATCTACCATGGCTCCACAAAGCCCATGAAGATCAAAGGTGGCACCTCCATCCTTATAGGTGAACTGTCCATGCTAAGGACAAGATCTTGCATGCTGTCATCAAGCATAGATGGAAGGAAGGTGCTGAGGTCACCTTCTCTAAAGAGGGGTCTGCCATGCCTAAAAACATCCCTGCAGATACTGCTTTAGTATCCAAAGAATGGCCCCATGTGCACTATGCCAAATGGCATCAGTAAATCCTGCAGTGCCCAAATCTGCCTCAAGGAAGTGGTGTCTAGATCAGAATGGGAAAGGAGGAAGAAGGACAGGGTCATGATATAGGCAGAATGGGGTATAAACACCTTTGTTCCACCAACAAGGGCATTCTTTCCCATCTTCATTTTTTTTTTTTTTAATTACTTGCCCACTCTAAGGCATCTTTTCCTTGCTCTCAGTTTTATTTTACTCTGGGAAGTAAGTAGCTGCCTGGGTGACATTCCTGCCACTGACACCTGGGTGATCCTTTTGCTGTGCAAATGTCATCAATCCAGGTAGCCAGAAGAAATACCCGGGGTGGGGAACCACTTCCCCAAAGTGACTTTTCAGTAAGGAAACCACAACATCAAGGTCAAAGTATGCTTGCTGAACACATGAGTATGGATTCTTAGGTAGCATCTACCCTGTTCCTAAGACCCTCCACCACCAGCCCAATACCCACTGCAGCAATAACTCCCCAAACACCCCCACCCACCTGTGTCACCCTCTGGTCACTGACAACTTTTTCTAAAAAATGACTAAGCCACCATTTTATGAAAAATATGCCTGTCTTTGACCCTCTCTTCACATGTGGAAGACCTGTCTTCCTTATTGCTCTAAAGGATATGAGGGGAAGGTGGGGCTGCCGTACAATGTCAGTAAGGCAAAGCTAAGAGGTAGGAAAGAGAGCCCATCTTCTCACACTCCATCAGGGAGGGAAGGGGCTTTTGGGGGTACATGATCTCCATTCCTCAACAACAGCTCCAGGGGACTGGTCATTTTTTAGAAGACAAAATAGGCAATAGGAAGAGCTAAATTAACTCCTACCTTCCCTAAGCACGAGCTCTAGGTTACCCACATCTTATGCCCCCAACACAGTACACAGAAAAGACATCACTCTTACTAGAACATTTTTGAAGAGAATCGATATCCTCAATGAAGAGAATCAATATTCTCAACAAGGAATGCATTATTTTGGGGAAGTGTATTTTCCTCCCTGGTAATGCTTCAGAAGCATTTTCTGTCTAGACAATAGAAGCGAATCTCAGAATGCAGTGTTTTCAGCAGTGGTAGGGGTGGCTGGAGGCACTCGGCCAACCCGATGCCTGCAGGTGGGGCTTGGATGGGGCACAGGCTCCCTGCGGGGCATGGATGGGGAATGCTCCCGACAAAATACCTGGTATTTAAATCCCACACCTTCTGGCGCTGTCTGTCCTTGACCCTGATCTATCCAATCTTTGTAAGAAAACTCTGGCCAGCACTTGACAAAAACAGTTTACCATCAATTTATAGAAGGGAGAGTGTTGTTGGAGGGATGACCCTGGGGGGCTCTGAGGTGGTGGGAGAGGAGGAAAGGCAAGCAGCTGGGGTGGGGACTGGTAAGGCTCTGGTGGCAGAGAGTCACCCAGTGGTGAGGGTGGGTGAAAGCAGGGCAGGTAAGGGGGTCAGCAGGGCAGGTGAGAGGTGGCAGCGGCAGGTGGACAAGGCTCGGGCAGAGAAGCAGGTGTTAATTCTCCTGGAGGGCTTGCTGAGCTGCTGGAGGACAAAGTGCAGGATGATGCTGTCCAGAAAAACGTGGACCCCAAAGCTGACACAGATGGAGCAGCATCTTCCAGGGTCTCCTGGAGCAGCACTTTCATGATCTCAGTAGTTGCCCGATTACACACACCACAGAGGAGGTCCAGATATAAAACACGACGAAAGTTCATTGTGTCATCATCCTCACCAAAGGGGCTGCAGAAGACAGGAGGGACAAAGCTGCAGCCAGGACCAGCACAAGGAGAGGGGCCTGCTAGCCTAGCTGGGTTGGGCCACCCGAAGCCTGCTGCCCCCTCACCTTGCCCCCACCTGCGACTTTATAATACACTCTGTGGCCTCTCCCCCAGGTCTTTGTTCACATGCCCTTTCCTACGGCTACCCCTCCCATGACTGCGGCAGGAAGCACTAAATCCCTGAGATGCATAGAACATGCTTTCAACAGGGACCAGGAAAGAAGGGGAAAGATTAATCACCTTGTCAGAATAGAAAGCATCCTCCTTTCCTCCTCTGCTTCCCTCTGGCTAATTCTCCTCCGACCTGGAAAAGCAGGAGATGAGGTGATATGTGAGGAAGGCAGAAGCATAAGGACCATACAGGAGTCCCTTTATGGGAGACCCTTGGGATATCAAACTCTGATAGCCCCAAAAATCTGTAGACAAGGTCAAATGGTCAACAGGAATATTAAGGTTCACAAGTGTATGTGGCCCCATTTATAAAGTACTTTCACACACATTATCCCACATGATGCTCAAAACGACCACATGAAGCACAGACCTCAGTGGTTACCTCAGAGAGGAAGCTGAGCATCTAGGAAGTCAAAGTACTTACACACAGTCAGGAGACAGGAGTTCTGACGCCAAACCCATGGGCAGTCCTTCCTCCACACCTCCATGGCCATCTATCGGACCACTGCCCAGGTCCGTGCCTCCTTCATGCCCACACAGGGCAGAGCAGGCACGCTGAGAAGTGTCTCAGGTCACGTTGCCTTCCCGGGAGCCTCCTCTGAGGGCTCTGTTTCCCCAGAGAGACTATCTAGCAATTGCTATCCTCAGAGATCAGGGACCTGGGACTTCACAGAAGGAACAGGAAAGCCC